CTTGAGGACATAGAACCCGGCGAGGAGTTCAGAGTGCCTTCAGAGCGCTGTACATCTTTATCTGTTTGCATCCAACTAGACACAATCCGGCTACTATGGGAGCAGAAGTTTAAGCCTTGATTTCGAGAACGCTTTAGAGGGTGTTGCTGTCATTTACACAGATGGTTCTGTAATCCGCCACGTTAGAAGCTCGTGGGCTTTCTCGGCTCAGTCTGGAGGGAGAGTTGTGAAGGAAGATTCTGGAGTTCTTGCTGTAATTACAAGTAGTCTGACTATGGAGGTCAGGGCTGTGACTAAAGCAGTAACATGGCCAAAGACACAGACTTTCACTGGGCATGCTTTCTCAGTGACTCGATGAGTATGCTTAGGAAGATAGAGAAGTGCTTGGTCCGAATGCAATGGTTGGTTGCTCTACATAATTCACGGCTGACAAAGATTAGTTTCATTTTCATGCCAGGACATGTAGGGGTACAAGGAAATGAGCAAGCTGATAGGCTTGCAGGTAAGGCTACTGTGAAAGACGGACAAACCATAGACCATGCTGACATACTGAATTACCTAAGAGAGTTGAGACGTTTGCATGAACTAACTGAGAACTGTGAATCAGCAACCATAGTCAGACTGCAAGAACAACATGTTAAACGTGGTGTCGCCAAACAAGAACACTACGTGGGCAGCCAAAGAAGAAGAATAAACTAACACAGAACTGGTCTCGTTAGCCGCTATACGTTGCGGAATTTACTGAGGAGGGGATCCGAGCACTCATGGACTGAGTGGTTCGACGTGCAATGAGGATAAGCAGTCGACTAACTAACTAAAGTGGGTGAGGACAGATCAAATCACAACAACCAGTACAGAACAATCTCAACTACCAAACTGATTAGAAAACCAAACCAGCTACTCGCGTAACAAACTACAAAGACACTCTATCTCTGTCGAGGGCTATATAACACATAAGTACTGCTACTGTCTAACGACACATTGTAACACGGACTATTCCCGGTGTGGGTTACGGGACCCCATTGTGGGGAAAACCAGAATAGACCCATTCTCTCCTCAACAAGCATGTCGTAAGAGTCAACTAATTTGGGGCTTACTGTGAAGTAGGAGTGTATCTACATGAGAGGCGAGGAACCAACAATCTTCATAAAATTACGACAGATCTGTTAAACGGATGCGCCCGCAACACTTAGATTCTAGAACAAGACTAAAGTCCGGAGGCGGACAAACAACCAGAACTTTCCGCCGGAGTTTACTAATCTGCACAATCATCAGTGGTACCTGGACAGGTGTCCTGGCTACTCTACACGGTAATCAGTGGTACCTGTACAGGTGTCCTGGCCAGTTTGCACAATCATCAGTGGTGCCTGAACAGGTTTCCTAGCCAGTCAACACAATCATCAGTGGTACCTGGACAGATGTCCTGGCCACTCTGCACAATCATCAGTGGTATCCGGACAGGATTCCAGCAAATATCAAGTCCACTTTTGTTTCCGACCAGCAGATGTTAGAGCTGGCCTCTGAACTCTGAACATGTAGATCTGAACCCAAATGTTGTCAAGGCGCTTTAGGGGCATGTGAGCAATGCTGAAGATCAAAAACATCATCATGGTCTGGAACGAATGTGTGTAGCGGAGAGGGACCTGGGGATCTCGTCAACATTCAGTACAGACACAAAGTCAGGGAATCTCGTCAACATTCAGTACAAAGTCATAGGATCTCGTCAAGCAGGGGATCAGGGAATCTCGTCAAAATTCAGTACAGCCACACAGTCAGGGATCTTGCCACATTCAAGACACATCGGGGATCTCGTCAACATTCAGTACAGACACAAAGTCAGGGGATCTTGCCAACATTCAGTAAAGACACAAAGTCAGGGGGATCTCGTCAGCATCAGTACAGCCAACACACAGACACAAAGTCACAGCGGATCTCGCCAACATTCAGTACAGACACAAAGTCAAAGGGGATCTCGTCAACATTCAGTACAACATCTCGTCAACATTCAGACAGACACAAAGTCAGGGGATCTCGTCAACATTCAGTACAGACACAAAGTCAGGGGATCTCGTCAACATTCAGTACAGACACAAAGTCAGGGATCTCGTCAACATTCAGTACAGACACAAAGTCAGGGAATCTCGTCAACATTCAGTACAGACACAAAGTCAGGGGATCTTGCCAACATTCAGTACAGACACAAAGTCAGGGGATCTCGTCAACATTCAGTACAGACACAAAGTCAGGGGATCTCGTCAACATTCAGACACACAGTCAACATTCAGTACAGGGGGGATCTCGTCAACATTCAGTACAGACACAAAGTCAGGGGATCTCGCCAACATTCAGTACAGACACAAAGTCAGGGGATCTCGCCAACATTCAGTACAGACACACAGTCAGGGGATCTCGTCAACATTCAGTACAGACACAAAGTCAGGGGATCTCGCCAACATACAGTACAGACACAAAGTCAGGGGATCTCGTCAACATACAGTACAGACACAAAGTCAGGGGATCTCGCCAACATACAGTACAGACACACAGTCAGGGGATCTTGCCAACATTCAGTACAGACACAAAGTCAGGGAATCTCGTCAACATTCAGTACAGACACAAAGTCAGGGGATCTCGTCAACATTCAGTACAGACACAAAGTCAGGGGATCTCGTCAACATTCAGTACAGACACAAAGTCAGGGGATCTCGTCAACATTCAGTACAGACACACAGTCAGGGGATCTCTTCAACATTCAGTACAGACACACAGTCAGGGGATCTTGCCAACATTCAGTACAGACACAAAGTCAGGGGATCTCGTCAACATTCAGTCTTGTCTTGTCTTGTCTTGTCTTGTCTTGTCTTGTCCACAATTGCCTCACAGCGTAGTGGGGAGTCGCAGTTTTCTATCCTGTACCAACATTCAGTACAGACACAAAATCAGGGGATATCGCCAACATTCAGTACAGACACAAAGTCATGAGACCTTGTCAACATTCAGTAAAGACACAAAATCAGGGGATCTTGCCAACAATCAGTACAGACACAAAGTCAGACAGACAAATAATTCGATCACCACTAGAACCACTAGTGCAGACACTCTTCACCTGGCTCTGAAGATGGGGATGGAGTGTCTATGTGAATGTCCTGAGTGTTGTGATGCTGGTACGCAAATAAAATACCGTATTTCCTAGGGCACCCAAGGTGCTTTAGTAGGTAAAAATGATAAATGGGATGAGCATGAGAGAGAGAGAGAGAGAGAGAGAGAGAGAGAGAGAGAGAGAGAGAGAGAGAGAGAGAGAGAGAGAAAACAGTAACACAAATTGTACACAGAAAAAGTTTAATTTTAAAAGGGACAAACTAAACAGGAAAAATAACAATATCCTGGAAAAAAAAATGATTTCTCTACAGTTGACTGTAAACCCCTATAAACTTCAATGTTAGTTACAATAAGAATAAGAAGAAAGTTCACAGGGGAGCATGTAAAGCAGGAATCTATCAATCGTCAGTAGAAGTAATCTCTTGTCGACAAACGTTTCGTTTCGGCCCACGAGCTCCTAGACGTTTTCAAAGAGTGAGCCCACCTGAGTTCATGAAGCTCAGGGTTGGTTCCCCTACTGCACGAAATTACCGGATGTTATTTGGATAGGGACAAGACGAATTTGTGATTTGCAGAGGGTACTGTGAGATAAGAAGTCGTCGCGGTGGCATAATTAAAGCAGTCTGCATACCTGAACGTCTGCTTCGCTCTGCCCAGCGGGCAAGTCGGATTGTTAGTCGCAGACCACTTAACCATGTTGACACCGGACGGTAATACATCGTACGCAGAACGAATGATAAAGCTCAGTCGCAGCTGGGTCATTCGCCTGATCCCACCCCATGTAAGTACTCTTGGCAATGCGCTCTACAGGCTTACCCAATGGCCCTGCTGCGACTGATGGGCTGCTTCTTGGACCCGAACTTCGTTTTCGTTGTCCCTAACTTGTTGTATAACCATGTCGCGGCGCTCTTTGGCTGTGGCTTTGGACCACAAATTGACCTTCCCGTGACCCAGGTTGTGACCAATCGCGGTCCTCTTGGTCAGACCAGTGATGCAGAGGTACACTTTGATATTAGCCAAAAGGCTGAGAAGCGATATATTTGCGTATGTAAAAATACATTTTTCAAGTTAAAAATTTATTATCTGAGGAGTATATAATAAACTTTTTTTTAAATATTAGTTGGTCCTGTGCCATGTAAGCATGATGTAATGATGCACATGGTATGTAGGTAGTTAGCTGTACCCCAAGAGGACATCACACATGCGATAAACACTCGGTGACACACAGTGAAACCATGTGGACGAGAATCACCCGTGGGGAGGTCTCAGAAACCCCCTTCAGTCGCTATGGTTATACTTATGTCCTGGCTATATTCACAGCTTCCGGAAGAAGCCAGGGTGGGGCTTTATGTAACAAAAAATTGCATCTCACACGGGGACTTTTACACAATGTATAGAATGTATAATTAACAAGCTAACTATCTATTTACTTCCACCACATCAGGACATCACACGAGCGATAACCACCCGATGAAACAAGGTGCCACCATGCGGATGACGATCACCGTGGAGAGGTCCCAGAAACCACGTTCAGCCATTCTACCATATTTATGGCCAGGCTATATTGCGGCCCCTGGCAAGAACCAGAGTAGGGCTTCAAATAACGAAAAATTTCATCCCCAAATGAAAATGACAAGATGGATTAAAATTATAATTAACTCTAGAGATATTTATTTTGTATGATAATTCTAATAATGTTGGTTATCGTGTCTGAGAATTTGAGAGTTCTGTCTTCACTATTGAATTTCTCAAGACTTTTTTTCTAACGCCACTGAATCCTTGGTAGTCTCCTTCCTTAACTTGAGTGGAACTTGGGGGTAGGTCGGCATGTCTGCAGCTACAACAGTATCTTCAACTTTGTGAGACGGGAAGAGGCCTGTCTGACTGGTCCTTTTGTTTGTTCACCTTGAGAAGCCGTTCCAGTGATTGCCCGCTACAGAGATTACATCTCCTGGCTGTAAGTAAATTGACAGAGAACAAAATTAAATCACAAATTAATAATACTGGCTCAGTCTGGGTAGCGGGGACCCATTTTGAGGTTAAACAGAATAGATCCGTTGTCACCCGCTAACAAACATGTGTGAATGCCGACTAAATAGGAATGGTTTTGCTGTGTGCAATCCGAAGATTCACACTATTGACGACCGCTAATGAACATGAGATATGACGAGAGACACGACATCACTTGCCGACAGAAGAATTGCACAGAAGACACTTACAAGAAATGTAGGAAAGGCAGAGGCTTGTATCTATATGTTCCAGATGCCACAGTTCGCGGGAGAGCAAAGTCTCTGAGCTCCATGTTGGAGGAAAGGAACTATCCAACCGTCATGAAGTAAAGCGATTGTAACTTATTCATTTAATGGACACATATTATATCTGTGGAGAGCTGGTATTGATATTACTTGTCAACGACGTGTTCTCAAATGTAGAAGTTTCAAAAGTTGATCTTGTGGGTGGCGTTTTTCTACCTGCCGTTGGGTTTTGGCATTTGTTACCCCTGGAGTAATAAGTTACTTGGACTTAGTACGGCATGGACCTGGGACGACATTTCAACGGAATAATCTGTTTACAGTAGATAATAATAATAAACGCCGTACAGTTCTTTCGAGATCGTAGTGCATCTGCATGAGAGGTGGGGAACCAAAACTCTGCATATAAGTACGCCAGAGGTCGAGTTTTTGCGTGCATGTCCGTTTTTCAGATCTGATGTATTCAAATACATACTGCTGGTTTCTCCCTTCTCAGGCAGACGTGCTCCAAGTTCGAAGCAGATACCCCTAATGAGTCGACTTTTACGACATGGTTGTAATGGGGCAGTGAGTCTATTCTTTTGTTTCTCAAAATAGGTCACCGAATATTATGATAATGACGATAATGATTATAAATGTTTATATTGATGATGTGGATGATAATGATGATAGCTATGACGATGATAATGACGATGATAGTGGTGAAAAAGATGATGATCAGCACGATGTTGATGATGATGATTAAAACGATGATGTTGATAATGATACTGGTGATAATGATATTTACGATTACGATGAAAGCAGACTCAAGACCAGCGAATTCTGAACTCACCTTCAGCTCGATATGCCCCTTCTTGTTGCTCCGATAAACTTCTACAGCAGAAATCTGATGAGCATTCTGTCCATAAAAGAAAAATATTGCATCCAGTGAACGGGCATTCCTGGAGGCATCTCCATGGACAGTCTGCATCAGCTCGTACGCCAGTCGACAAACCTATTCAGAAAATGCATAATCTCTTACATAACATAACATGACCCTTGACCCATTAGAGCCGTGGAGGTGTATTGATGGAAGCACTAGCACATAAAACCTGCCATCTTTCTCTGTCTTCCGTTTGACGAATAAGTGTATGATAACTTAGTCAGGTCCATTTTTTGATGTTGTCATTCTATTTTCTTCATTTGTCCCCCTCTTCTGCCACAACCCCCCAAATATTCCTTGGAGAACTGTCTTTGCAGTCGAATCATGTCTCACCACCTTTCCAAACCAAGATAGCTTGCGACATTTCACCACTGACAAGAGTGGCTCCTGATGTCCCGCAAATATGGATTTTTTGTCTTTAACATACATTTTAGTTTTGTGTTCTAAATAACTAATTCGTAAAATGCGTCTGTAGCATTTACATTCGAAAGCTTGAATCCTCCTTTCCATTTCCACAGTGAAAGTCTGACTCTCACATCCTTGTAAGAAAAAAAAATACCAGAGATTTGTAAATATTGACCTTGACTGAGATGTTGATTTTGCTCTTTCACGTCGGGGTTTCTTAGCAAACGTTAATGGTCGACGTTTGGTGTAGGAGAGCCTAGCAAAGTATACGAAAACATCTACCTTAAGAATGGAGGTGGAGGCGGTCACTGCAGTGTTCCGACGGTTAGAGAACAGGACACATACACACGACAGAAACACACACACATCGTGATTGCAACTGACTCAGAAAGCATGCTGAGGAACGTCAATGCAGGCATGATTCATGCAGAGTGATATCCTTCGCTGCGGAGGACACGGGTGAGGAATATTGTCTAGATTTTTTCACCCGGACACGCCGGTGTGTTGGGAAATGAACAGCCGGACAGACTGGCTGGCTCTGCACAATTTAGTGGAATACTGATGCATGATTAAGCAGACGTGGTTAGTGCCTTGTGGGAGAGCGTGTACAGTTCGGATGAGCAGATGGATCACCACAAACTGGTGAGATTGATGCAGTTGGGGGTGACGAGGGGTTCTTGCAGATGCTCGAGGCTCAGAAGAAAGACGGACGTTTAATCAGAATGCTGCTTTCACCATTAGTGTGAGAACTCTTTATTGGCTGCTGGAGATGGGAACGAAGCGCTTAAGGGAATGAATGCCCCGAGTTCTGTAATGTCAGTTCTTGAATCAACTCAACTCACCTCAACATCGTATTAAGCTGTTGTTTGATGTCTTTGGTGCAAGTGCCATCGTTGCTTATGTGGGAGCCAATATTTTTAAAGGTTTCAACTTATAGTTTTAGTTATATTTGTTTACCTTTTATCTGCATGTTGGTAGGCACTTGAATATTATGTATATTTACCAGAATCACTTATAGCATGATACATTTCCACTTTTGCTGTTAAGCGTTGTGGGTTTAAACAATACGCGATACATCGCTTAACGGGTGGTAATGGCTATTAGTTTAGATATTTAAAAAAAATTGTTATTTGTCATCATCATCATCATAAACCATTTCTGCCGTTAAGCGCCGTGGGGAGGAATGATTTAGGTTCCAGTGCACGTTGGCTGCCACTGGCTATTGTCATGCCGTGAAGGCGTAGAGTGTCTTTAATGTTGTCGATCCATGTTTTCCGCGGCCGTCCTCTGGCTCTTGTAGTTGGTATTCTGAGATGTAGTGCTTGTGATGGTATTTGATCTTGCTGCATTCTAACGAGATGGCCAAACCACTTGATCTGCTGTTTCTCGATGAATCTAATACAAGGTGTCGTTCCCACAATTTGTCTGATAGTTTCATTATTCACTCGATCTCGTATGGTTAGGTTGGCTGCTTTTCTCGGGCACCTCATCTCGCAGGTGGTAATTTTGCGTATATGGGCTTTAGATAGTGTCCATGTTTGGCACTGGTAGCCTAATGTTGGAATAAATACGTTATTAATAATATGTCGCTTTGCACTCATAGTTATTTATGGATGTCTTAATAATGGTGACAGTTGGTATATAAGTGCACTTGCTTTCTGACATCTGGTTTCTATTTCTCTGTCAATTCTACCATCTTCTGCGATCATACTTCCTAGATATTTAAACTCTCTAACTTGATTCAGGGCAGAACCATTTAGCTGTATGTGTAGTGGGGCAGAATGTCTACTAACTTGCATTGTTTCGGTTTTGTTTACATTGATCTTCATGTTGTATTTACTACATGTTGAGTTTAACCATCGGTTAACATTCTGTGTGACGAAAATGTGTATTTTTGTGTGTGTTTAAATATCAGTGTGTTCAAATAAGGATGATCCTGCGACAGGTCCAGCAAACCGGTAGGGCATTTTTTTGTTCACGGGAAATTGCTCAAGAATTATGGAGGAATTTGAAGAAAAGCGTACTTCAAACAGCGCTCACATTACACACGCGACGAACAAACCAGTTTTTGATAGCAAGCGAACAATAACAAACAAGCGTCATCGACAAATTAATGGCAGCAGCAAGCGAAATTGTTATTTGTAATAACAGTAAAACAATATGTCAATTTAACGGAATATTACAGTACAAATGCGCTCACTTTCAAAACAGCTTGAAACCTCTTTGCGCTCCCTCTTGGGGCGGCATGTGTCCCCAGGTTAGAGACCACTGATCTAAGGACGCTATAGGCCGTTAAGTGTTCATTTTTCATTTCAATATCATCTTCATTGCACATGGGGCATACCCATAAAATATGAGATTGTCTCCTAAGCTCGTTTATTAACATCTTTAAACTCAGGGCCGTGCTTCAGATTTTCGCAGTATGTTGCAAGTCTCCAAAATGCCGCCTGTTAAATTGTGTTTTGATTTCACCGCCTTTTCTGCCCGCTTACAGTGCCGCCTGATTCGGCCGCTGTCTGTATCATTCCATGCCGCTGGGGAGGGTCTTCAACGTCAACGGTCCATTTTCCTCTAGCCGACCTCTTGTATTCATATCTGATCTTTTTTATGTTTAGCATCTTGGTAAAGTAAAGGACCCTCTACCCTGTCCTTAAGGATATTGGGCATATAGGGCTAGACTTATACTTTAGAGACCCATTAGTATTTGGTGTGTGATGTGATGAGCTTCTAATCGTCATCAAGGATCTCAGTTTTTCAGAGTATCAAACGGGTACAGGAAATAATTCGGAAAATGCTCGAGCCGACCCCTAGGCTACAGATATCTGACGCCTCTACCTATCTTTGTGACTGGCCTTGTCTCGCTAGTTGCTGACTTCAAGTGTCTGCTTGTATGTTATCTATCTTTCGTCTTATTGGTCTTTCTTGTGGCCTACTTATATTCAACCCTTGTGTGTGTGTGTGTGTGTGTGTGCGTGCGAGCGTGCGCGCACGTGTGTGTGTGCGCTGATCGTTTTATGAGGGATTTTTTAAATTAATAATGAAAAATTCGGTACCTTTTGTTGTGTATTGGTACCTTTGAAAAATATGTGGTCTTATTCCCTAAAAATTATTTTGCTGGCCCTGGTGCAAAGTCCTATGATGTGTGCTATGCTGAAAAAAATTTATAAATCGTCACGTTCAACCAACATCCCCGAAGGAGGGGGCTTTAGATTATAATTGTGGCTAGATTATGTGCACCACATAAAATAACTTAGTGTTGCACGCCACCAAAAGACGTGAAAAGGACTCCTGCGGTGTTGATGCGATCAAAGGCGACAGACCCAAATACTGTCGTGACCGTCAACGAATCGTCTACCGGCGAGCCAGTGAGCGACCCGGTCAACGATAGAGTACTATGATGTCGATGTTTAACTTCTCACTTATAAAAATAGATTCGAACTCACATTGGAAGAGAAGGTACAGACTAAGTAATCACAACGTGCCAGGTGATACACATCAGTGATGATTCCGTGCAGGGATTCCTTTGAATTTCTGCTTGCCATTGTCGCTGTCCGTGTACCGTTGAAGTCGTTGATAAATATGTAGTTTGGGTATCTGCAAGATTCAGAAACGAGGGTCATTTGAATTGAGTAAGGTTGCACATTCTGTTTTCTTGATCTCATATAGGTATTACTTTAGGCACCAGAGATAGGGGCGAGGGGAAGGGAGGACATGTCACTTGAGACCTCCCACTCTCAAATATTTCAAAAGAGACTAAGAGATCCCACTTAAGTCATGCGTAGATATAAGGGCAACAACCCTACAAATCTTTGAGAATATGACAAGACACTTACACCCCTTTGAGTTTATGGCAAAACCCCTACAAACCCTTGAAAATATGACATGACCCATACAAACCCTTGAGTATATAGCAAGACCCCTACAAACCCTTGAGTATATGGCAAGACCCCTACAAACCCTTGAAAATATGGCAAGACCCCTACAAACCCTTGAGTATATAGCAAGACCCCTACAAACCCTTGAGTATATGGCAAGACCCCTACAAACCCTTGAGTATGGCAAGACCCCTACAAACCTTTGAGTATGGCAAGACCCCTACAAACCCTTGAGTATGGCAAGACCCCTACAAACCCTTGAGTATGGCAAGACCCCTACAAACATCTGAGTACATCAAAAGACATCCCCCACCACGTCCCCACCGCCCCCACTCTGAATATATAACAAGACAGGCACGACCGACGAGCGCCCCCCCCCCCCCCCCGTCCTTCCACACACATACACACACAGACAACAAAATGCGCTTAAAAAGAGAACAATCGACTCCTCAACAAGAGAAACAAAAAAGTATGGAGATACGTTTTGGCTAGAATGAGTTCTTTATCAAAAATTAAATGTGTACGTTATCTTATTAAAGAGGTGTTTAACGACAGATACACACACTGTTCAATTAAAACTATAAGGTCTTTTTTTTTTAAAAATAGTGTTCAAAATATATGTCATTGAACTAAAACAGTATGTAAGTATAACAGATTATTAAAGTGCAAATTGGCTCACTTTATAAATTGTCCCCTCCCCCTCCATTTTTTTCCCAATTAAAACCTCCTTGCAAGAAATAAATAATAGTTTGAGATAATGTAACGATTTTTTTTTTTTTTTAACTGGAAAGTTTTCAGTAATTTGAGAAAAAATATATTAAACATGTAACAGGGTGACAACACACTGTAGCCTTTCATAATTTTGGTTTGACTGCAAGCGAACTAAAAACTGCAAGTCTGAAAATCAAAATTCTCCGGAAATGGAGTCACGGAGGCTATAAAAAGCCGACGCACCGGAAAAAGGCCTCTTAGCTTTAGGCATTCTGGTGTCGTCATTCGCCATAGAAACAGTTCGTCCCACCTATCAGCGTGGCGTAGCCCTTAATGGTGTTACCGCTACGTGGGATCAGGGAACTGAGCGGAGATGCATGAACTAGTTCACTGTCTACTTATATAGCCATCCTCCACCCATCCATTCATCTACCCACCCATCTATCTCACCACCCACTGACCCAACCATCCAGCCATGCTATTTTTCAATTGCTCCCTTACATTCTGGTTTTTACCAGTTCTGTGCTCAGTTCGACTGATACTTTCTATAACAATCACCCTCACTGTCTCTATTTTATAGCTGACAGTAAGAGAGAAGCATCGTGTCTTGAGACCCTTGTTTTTACCTGTTTTCATATACTGGCACACATATAGGCTGATCCATCCATCCATTATACTTTCAATCCATTCACGAGTAAAACCATCCACTATTCCGTCTTTTTGTCTACCCGCCCATCTATCCCACCACCCACTCATTCATTCACCCCACCACCCACGACCTATCTATCTATATAGCTATGTCTGTCTGTCTGTCTGTCTGTCTGTCTGTCTGTCTGTCTGTCTGTCTGTCTGTCTGTCTGTCTGTCTGTCTGTCTGTCTGTCTGTCTGTCTGTCTGTCTGTCTGTCTGTCTGTATGTATGTATGTATGTATGTATGTATGTATGTATGTATGTATGTATGTATGTATGTATGTATGTATGTATGTATGTATGTATGTATGTATGTATGTATGTATGTATGTATGTATGCATGCATGCATGCATGCCTGTATCTATCTATCTATCTATCTATCTATCTATCTATCTATCTATCTATCTATCTATCTATCTATCTATCTATCTATCTATCTATCTATCTATCTATCTATCTATCTATCTATCTATCTATCTATCTATCTATCTATCTATCTATCTATCTATCTATCTATCTATCTATCTATCTATCTATCTATCTATCTATCTATCTATCTATCTATCTATCTATCTATCTATCTATCTATCTATCTATCTATCTATCTATCTATCTATCTATCTATCTATCTATCTATCTATCTATCTATCTATCTATCTATCTATCTATCTATCTATCTATCTATCTATCTATCTATCTATCTATCTATCTATCTATCTATCTATCTATCTATCTATCTATCTATCTATCTATCTATCTATCTATCTATCTATCAGCATGCCAGTCTGCTTGCTTTTCTATTGGTATTCGTTCGCTAGCACAGGTAGCACTTTTATTCCATGGGGATGTACTAATGTCGTCCCTATGACCCAACCCTGGTTACGTCTTATTGGCTAACCCCTCCCTCTTTATACACTCAGTGTACGCTGGGATACTGACACCGTTTTTCGCTCCCCGCTCGCACTTTCGTGATATATAGGCTAGTAGCTGTCCTAGTCATCCTCTTGAACGAAGTTTTTTTGTGCCAGGGACACAGATGAGTATAATCTATTTTGTACATTAGAGTCCTATGTAGTCACTTCATAGTTAGAGCATATTTGTGTATGTGTACTGTGTTGTTTGTTATGTGCTGGTGAAGGCTAATCGCCGCAAAGTCCTTTGTTTATTGTGATCGATTTTGTGAAGCTAACATAAACTGTTTGTTCATTCTTGCCAACTTTTTCTCTTGCCTAAAATTTTCTACCCCTTTAAAAACTTGTTCACGGTGTGGTACATTTCAGTAGCTAGGCAGTGTTAGATCTAAATTGTCTCCACTAATTGAAACTGTGTTAGATCTAGATATCAGTGTGTATCATCGCTCGGAGATATTTAATTGCAGGTCGCTGGAAGTGAGTTTTAATCTTTGTTTCCTTTTTTTTTTTTGCAGTTCAGAAGGAAAAAGGGGGGGGGGGGGGGGGGAGGGGAATTCCATATTGTCCCAACCACTTTTCTTTCCATATCTTCATACTTCTTGTTTTTCCTTTTTCTTTTTCTTTTTTCCCGTTAGCTCGAAGCAAAAAAAAAAAAAAAAATCATTTGTTTTGGAAATAATTTTTTTTTTTTTTTTTCTTTAGGCTCCAGCAGATTTAGAGTTTCTATAAGAATTAAAAGAACTCCACAGGTACGCATGTACAGCAGGAGTCCACCGATGATCAGTAGAAAGATCCTACGTCGACGATTGTTTCGGCCCATTACCATTCCTATACAATCTCCAGGCTTCGATCTTCTCCTGCTGCACTTTACCGGATGTTCTAGGACAGGGACAAGACGAAATGGTGACTATGTAACAGGTACTGTAAGATTCGAAGTTATATATACATATATTGTCACAACGGCAGCCAGTTAGACCTGCCGGCTACCTTAATGAGCAAGTGACAAGCATACGGTTGGTTCAAAGGACACATGATGGACTTTTGCAATTAGCAGAGGGACACTGGCAGACATGAGTCGGACACCTTGGCTTTTTAAAGTGTAGCTTAGCTAGCTAATGCCTAAATCTAGTACTGAAGACTTACTTCTTTATAGCTTCTGACAATACAGTTGGTTCATCTGTAGTAATGTACACCCTTCTAGTGATGCCCGGCTGTGTCTGTTCTACCTGATCGTAGTATTCTTTTACATGGTACATGTATTCTTCAACTGGATAAGATGCCGATTCTAAGATAAGTTTGTCTGTTCTACGTATGTGGATACTGTTGGATAGAAAAAGATAAAATACTAACGAGAGCGGTTGTGCTGGATAAGACATGTTCATGATAAAAAAGATTACATTAAAGGTGGTCACTTTTTTTATATAAAGACAGAATATTAAAGGTAAAGACTGTATTAGATTCTTCACCTTCTCCTTCATCATCTTCTTCACATCATCTTTGTCCTTCTTCACGTCCTCCTCCTCCTTCTCCTTCTTCTTCTTTTTCTTCTTCTTCTTCTTCTTCTTCTTTCTTCTTCTTCTTCTTTTTCTTCTTCTTCTTCTTCTGCTTCTGCTTCTGCTTCTTCTTCTTCTTCTTCATCTTATTCTTCTTCTTTTCCTTCTTCTTCTTCTCCTTTTTCTTATTATTATTATTATTGTTAATATTGTTATTATTATTATTTTTCTTCTTCTTCTTCTTCTTCTTATTATTATTCCTCTTCCTCTTATTCTTATACCTATACGTCTACTTCAATTCAGTTTTCTCCCAATATATTTGATAATGTTGAAGTAAAAATGGTTCCGAAATTGCTTATTCCTTGTTTAGATTCATAATTTAATAATTTATTATTAACACTACGCTGAATGCAAATAAATTTAGTATGTGTATGAAATAGCATAAAATGTATAAATATATACCTTTGAAGAAAATGTGTATAGCTGGATGAAGCTTAGCTAGATAAAAAGGTTTTAGGTGGGAAGTCATTGCTTATCGCCCTTTTTTACACATATAATATTGTCTTTGTCTTCTTTTGGCAAGGCGGATGAGGGTAGGGGAGGGGCTTAACGGGCCTGGGCCGGCTAAATTCCGCCTCTATAAATTTGTTGTGAAGTTGTTGGTCGATGTTCCAGCAACATTGCAGTATGATCATATCACAACTGCTACATTCCCGTGCTAGTAGAAATCCTACACAATTGCCCTCCCTGTCCAATGTTAAAATTAATGAAAATCAGTCCCAGCAAAATCTTGAAGCTTGCACACCCAAGAGACAGGAGGCAGCTGTCAGAAGTGCGAAGACTAATGGTCCAACACAAGAATTGCGGCTCACCTTTCCTGCAAAAAAGACAATCACTCAGAAAAGTGCACTCCGTTCTGAACGTAATCGGCCGCCTGTAATTTTGGTGCATTCCACAAGAGGTCAATAAAGATGACGGTGATAAACAACACTTTCCAGGCACAACAGGAAAGAAAACCATTTAACATGAAATCCACAGCTCGCAGTGTCCAAAGAGCACTTAGAGCATAGCTGGACCAAGGTGTTGCGGTGTGAAGTGTTGGTCTGAAAACATTCAATTTCACGCATAGTTACTCATTCTAGCTGTTCGATGAGCTTCATGAACTCTTCTGTAAAACTACTCAAATATTACCGATATTACCATTAACAATTTCGAGACACGCAACATTACAGACGATAGTAGCGACATGGCGGGGAGACCACGCGCCCGGATGCAGATTAGCGATAATGTTCTTCTGATTAAACTAACCGCCGAGGGTATCCCCCTCTAAACTAAATGCCTAGGAGTCACAAGCAAAAATCAATTGGATGAACTTGTAGGAGATGCGGTATCTGCTGCTCGTGAATCCCAGCCATCGAGTTTAGCCCCACCCGCGCTGCGCTGAGCGGCGCGCGGGATACTGTCGGCGGTGCGGCATAGGCGCAGAAACAGGTCTGCAATCAACATATCGCTGAGACCCTGTTAGAGCACTGTTTCGTTATTCGAAGCCGATCCTAGTTTTGGCGCGATTTGTTCCTCGACAGGAACTCCGCATTTTGCATAGGACTGAGGCCCTGTTAGAGTATTTGTTTGGCCGCCATAATGTGGGGTAGAAGTTTGAAGGAGAGCCAACTTCCTCTTCTTCTGTTTCTTCCCCTTGCTTTTAACGTTCACATTCTGTAAACTCTGGCAGAATGTTACGTTTGTTCGTCCACTTCTGGACTGTGGCCTTCCACTTGAATTTGAGATTTGCCTGCACATGCGTTATACAGATCTGCCTTATTTGCATGCAAACTATTAGTTCTAGATACTACGATTTGAAACGAAAACACACATACTATGTCGACTTTTACGGCATGCTTCTTAGGGGCAGGGTGGCTTTGTCCCGACTCCTTGTCTCCAGTTGTACATAGACTGTACGTTTACAGACACCCTTAACCTACCCGACAATTGTATTTGTGAACCCAGCTTTCTTTCCTCTGCTGATCACCTCTTCCAACAGGTTTTGCTTCAACCTGAAGATGTATCTAGCCAGCTGCCCGATCCACCAAGCTGATGGGTTCCCATGGAGGATGGACAGCTCCTGGGCCAAGTCTGCGGGGACGGCAGGTGGCAAGAACGCAGGGCGTGGGGGAGAATAGTTTTCCTCAGATGTTAAAAAAAATGGTGTTGTCACTGCTCTTGTAGTTCAGAGTACCTAAACATGAAACAAACAACAATAACTAACAGGTAAACAAAAACAAAAGAAAAGAGTCTAGCAATAACGTTGCAATTTGTGAGTAAGTGAGTGAGTGAGTGAGTGAGTGAGTGAGTGAGTGAGTGAGTGAGTGAGTGAGTGAGTGAGTGAGTGAGTGAGTGAGTGTGAGTGAGTGAGTGAGTGAGTGAGTGAGTGTGTGAGTGAGTGAGTGAGTTAGTGAGTGAGTGGGTAAGTGAGTGGTTAAATGAGCAAAACTGAGCCCCACCTGGACCTCACACTGAGCGATTAACACCATGTAACGCAAATGCCATGACCCAGTAATCAGATGGAAATCCCCGAGGTGGAATCCCAGAAACGCCGTCCCGCAAGAAGGTTACATTTGGGACCCGACGGTTACTAAGTAATCTGTCCAGTCCGGGTGGAGCCTTAAAAAAATTAAGCCGCTTTATTAATATCTTACCATAAATAGGGCAAATCCACAGGTCACGGAACAGTCTAATGTTTTAGGGGATGGTAGATAGGCTGCATGCAGTCGTGGGACCTAGGCTGCATGCAGTCGTTGGACCTAAGCTGCACACTCTCGTAGGATCTAGGTGGGTTGGGGTTCGGGCCAGTTCAAATGTTTTGGGGCGTCGTGAAAAGCATCAGAAAGCCAGGAAACCCAGTCTTACCAAACTCAAAAATGTTGGACTGTCCTGTGACGTCATCTGGGGTGTAAGATATTAATAAATAACCAATCATAATTGTTTCAATGGTCCCATATATGGATGGATATGTCCTGAACAATGGGCAAGAATTTGTGTACGAGGACTTGAGTGTGGATCCGGCAAGGAGGGACGGATGAGAGGAAGAGAACGGCGTGTGTATAATCAGTGTGTCATGGGAACAGTTAGTATCTACAAATTACGACACTTGCTGCTTGAGACGGAGCATCTATGGGTATGGCCGGTGTGCTATAATGTCAATTATTAAATCAGTAATCAGTAATATCCCGGAAACTGGTCATTTAGTGCCCACCTCTTAATGTAATGTTGACACTTTTTGTGGGTCTTTTTCTTGATAATTTCTGTAATTTTTCTCCTGAGTTGAGTTGAACCGAGAATTGACATCACAACACTCGGAGAATTCTCATGTATGCTCCGTCCTCATCTTGAGCAGCCACCCAGAGTATACTGATGGTAACGGTGAGAATCTGGTTATGTGTCCGTCTTGTATTTCCTCTGAGTGTAGTGAGCCGGTCAGACCTTCTGGTTACACCCAGATGCCTCATTCTCTCCATAATAATCTTGTTTCTCTACTGATTCCGTTGATTGTTCCCAAAGGGCCTAGACCACATCTGCCTTGTCATGTATCGATTCACCACCCCGTGGTACAGATCCAGCCAATATGTCTGCCTCTTCGCTTCATCTGATGTTGGACAAGGCACAATAGAGATAATTCTACAGATCAATCATGCAGAGCTGTTTTATTATAATTTTAAACTATTAAATATTATCAAAGCAATGTTTCCCCGTTGAAAATTTGAACAAAGAGGACACAAACATTAGATTGCACAATTTATTGCCTGGCATATTACGCTGTATCTCGTCAGGTGCATACAACAGTAAAAATTAAACAAATTAAGCAAAAAAAAAGTGAATCCTTTATAACTGAAGTACAATTTCAACAACTATCATAATATAATTGTCTATTTTTACCAGGGCAGCCGTAAAGACAGAACCATCTCTTTCTGTATTCTGTGACGAATCGCGGAAGCTTCCAGAAATCTTAGCGTTTTACCATCGGTTGACGTATGACGGATTTGAAATGAGTTGTCCTTAGTTGCCACGTGTCCAGTTTTAGAAGATAACGTGCTTGCAGAGGGGTGATCTTTGCGGGGAGTATTCTCATTTTGAAGATACAACGAAATATGACAGGCATTAAATTTATAACCTATTGTTTGTGTCTACTTTGTTTATATTAAATATTAATTTAACTCGGGAAAAATTAACATTATTATAACAGATTATTACAAGTACAAATACTCTCAGTTTCGTAACCGCCTGACGCGCCTTGAAACCTCTCTGCGACCACCCCCTTCCCGCCTCAGAGGGCGCAGCACATCCAGGTTGAAACCATTGACATACACCTTACAATCAGCGGTTTCTAGTAAAGCAGAAGTTTTTAATTAAAATAACTACAACGAAGCCAGCTATAAACCTCTTTTACCTTAAGTGAAAGGGCGAAAAATTAAATGGTATGAATATGTCATAAGATCTAACGGCGTCTCAGAAACAATACTGCAGGGCTGAGTAGAGGGGAAGGGGAGAAAAGGCAGACCCTCGGGCATACAACCAGGAAATCTATCGCAACTGACCGCCAAAGGTGGAGAGAGCTGATGAGACAGTCAGCATCAACTGATGACCCAACAGACACCTATTATTATGTGATGATAATGATGATGATCATGAAGAGCTTATTACTATGTACACATTTTTGAATCGCACCGAAAAAAAAATGGTTGCATTTTTCTTCTTGCAGCAGTCAGAAGTTTACTGTCAGGAAACACAAATACGAAGGGAACAGAAGAAGACATGCCAGAAAGCAAGAATCTATAACGTGTATATTACATTACCCGTTGATATGATACAACACCTTCAAAGATTACGGTAGAAAGTTCCGGTTGCTCCTTCCGTGTAGACGGAAAGATGGAAGATGGAAGTTTGGAAGGGCCGAATGTGAGACAGGCCTGCGTGCCTAATTTGTAACCCTTCGAAAATAAAATTCGTTCGTTTGTTCGTTCGTTCGTTCGTTCGTTAGACTTTGGGAGTCACCGTGGCGTAGCGGCTAGACGCTCGTGTGCGGATCAGAAGATCGTGGGTTCGCTCCCTGGCGGAGCCTGACTGTTTTCAAAAATGACCTTGACTCCCAGGTCGACCAAGCCTTGAGTGGGTACCGGGTGCAGTCCCGGGAAGTAAAGGCGGCCGGTGTGATGCTGACTACATCCATCTTGTGCTGATCTATAAAAATATAGGTCTAGCCCTATATGCCATATACACCTAAAGGGTGGAAAGGAAAACTTTACTTTTTTTTTTTTACTTTAGACTTTGGTCTTTTTCCATAACTTTTGCGTGCATATCCGTTTTACTGATCAAAATTATTTCTATGGAAACATTTGTTTCTCTACATTTCAGGCCGATGCACTCTGACTTCAAAAGACACTCCCGAATTAGTCGTCTTCTACGACATACTTGTTAGGAAGGTAGTGGGTAATTAAATGTCCCCCTCTCCCTTCCTCCCTCCAATAGGACTGCGGAACCCACAGAGGTAACATTCTAAAGTTGTGATATTATCTACATGATATCCTAATCATGCAGCTTTGATTTGTAAGTCCGAGGGAGTTCTTTGAATACTACATGTAAAAGAAAAACGGCCTTACCAAAATGGTTGCAAGATACAGCGATTCTATGTGGATGGCCAGATTTCTATGATCGATTAAAACTCAAGAAAAACATAACTTTTAGAGATAAATTTAATTTTTTTTTCAGATCCTCTTCTACGATGACTATGGTTAAAACTAAAAAAAAATTTAACTCATGTGTATTATTTCCACTTTTGAATTAATTATTGAGCTGAAATGCTATAAAAAAAAAATGTGTAGCCCAAATGCATGGTAATAAAAAAAGGGGTGGATGATTGGGGAGGGGGGGGGGGGGGGTTTTCGGTTCCATGGGCCGACCAAACACGAAGATGGGCACAAGATATAAGTGACCCCTTGAACAGAGGCGGGAAAGTTATCGAGACACCAAGTTTCCTGCAGGCAGACCGTGATAAGAGGAACGTTCTACAAGAGACCTGCTACATGAAGATCTCAGTTATAAACCTGACAGGTTGAACAGGATATTGTTGTTTCAATTTTTACAATTAAAACTCTGAAAGTCTCAGAATGGGTTCCAACGCCCCCGTTAAAAAAAGGGGACCGGTGGTGTGGCTATGGAAAAGACAAACTGCATTACAACAAGCATGTTACACACAAAACTAATAATTATGTGTGGTATTTTCCAAGACAGCGTATATTTCTCTGAGATGCAAAGAACCAACAGTCTGCTTACAAATAATCGAGATCTGTAAAACCGATGTGCTTGCAAATCTCAGGTTTTAGAACAAGACTAAAGTCCAGAAGTGGGCGAACAAGAAGAATTTTACAGCCTGTGAACGCAAAGTAGAAGGAAGAAGAAGAAGAAGAAGAAGAAGAAGAAGAAGAAGAAGAAGAAGAAGAAGAAGAAGAAGAAGAAGAAGAAGAAGAAGAAGAAGAAGAAGAAGAAGAAGAAAAGAAGAAGAAGAAGAAGAAGAAGAAGAAGAAGAAGAAGAAGAAGAAGAAGAAGAAGAAGAAGAAGAAGAAGAAGAAGAAGAAGAAGAAGAAGAAGACGTCAAAAAGCAAGAATCTTTAATGTATATCTTACATTAGGCGTTGGTGCAATTTCTTGAACAGAACATTCATACCTGGCCATTTTGTAGTATTGTTAAACTGTGCGGCCAAACACGAACTGCTCATCGGCTCAAACACAGAGTCAAAGCTTTCAGAAGCGTACAGAGACGATCTTGACTTCAAGACAAGAGACCTCCCCAAGGCATAGGATGATATCACGCAGTGTAAACAATGGTGCATTTGGCAGGCGAAGCCACAAGATCTTGACAAGATGCAGACGAGCTTCTTTGTAGTATTACAATCAGTTGGGTTCTAAATAGAGGAAGCAACGTGCAGAATGAGGAAGTACTGCAACAAAAAAGCGTCAAAGTATGGTTATATCAGACACCAAATGTTACAGTTCAAAGTTTTGTCAAATCTGCAGTGTTCTTGATTTCGTGTTGTTGTTGTTCTTCTTTGTTTTTTCTTTTCCTGTTCTTTCTTCTTCTTCTTCTTCTTCTTCTTCTTCTTCTTCTTCTTCTTCTTCTTCTTCTTCTTCTTCTTCTTCTTCTTCTTCTTCTTCTTCTTCTTCTTCTTCTTCTTCTTCTTCTTCTTCTTCTTCTTCTTCTTCTTCTTCTTCTTCTTCTTCTTCTTCTTCTTCTTCTTCTTCTTCTTCTTCTTCTTTTTCTTCGTCCTTCTTCTTTGTTTTCTTCTGTGCGCGTCCATGATATTCGATTGGCACTACGTGTTGTTGTTTACATCTAGGTAAATGAAGATGAGGACGGAGCGTACATGCTCGAGTGCTGTGATGTCAAGCAAATCTTTAATTATTCGCCTTTTATGACATGCTTTTAGAAGAACAGCGCATTTGTTCCGTATCTTCCTCCTCCTCCCCCTCCCCTTATCACCCTGTCAACCCTCAAATGTTGCTGTATAACCCGTACTGTCAGTACTGTAAAGTATAAACGGCGAGCAGATCAACAGAATTAAATGTAAACTGTCAGTATGTAGGTCCTTTGTGGGTTCTGGATCTTTGAAAGGTGGGCGTGGGGGAAGAAAGTTAGAGCAGAACTACTACCCCCGTAGCTAACACGACGTTTCCTTCGAAGTCGGAGTTCAGCTTCCTGAGAGGCAAGGAACCAACAGACTTCATAACAATAAGCCGGTTCTGTAAAACGGTAGTGAAGTAAAAACCTACATTTTTTAAAACAAGACTAAAGTCTAGAAGTGGATAAACAGGCAAAATTCCCTCTTCACCCGCCCCCCCCCCCCCTTCCCCACCGGAGTTTACAGCTAGTGATAGCTAGGAAAAAGGAAAAGTTACTTTCAAGAATTGCCTTTCCGTTTGTTTGCCTTTTTCTCTTTGACACAATACTGTCGTTTGATTAAATGTATAGTAAAACCTGTAGTTTATCTGCCTGCTCATTTCCCAACACACCGGCAAAACCTAGAGAAAACAAGTTTTATCAGTTGATTCTTTGATACAGTAAGCATTCCAAGTCCATAATCTATCACCGACAGGATGACATGCTGGAACATTGAGAACAACATTCTTTGTTTCATTTCCATTGCTGCTATAATCTTGAGAGCATTGAGTCCTTTTTTTGGCATTTCACCACAACTGTCTCCATATGACCCCTATAGGACAGGCTTCTATCGAAAGTGATATCCAGGTAACCTGAAGATGGCATCAAGCACAGAGCACGCACTCCGTAGCTGCGGTAAAGAGGTAAAGGTCATAACCTTAACGCCATTGGTGCACAGGGCGTTTGATTGTTTTGATCTCCTATTATTATAGATTTCAAAATTATAATTTTGAGAGCATGCATCTTTCCTATGGCTGCATACGGATGTGAGTCGGGGACTATCTCTCAGTCTTTAAGAAAGAAAATAGGGGCTTTTGAGCTGAAATGCTATAGAAAGATTCTCAGAATATCTTAGACAAAGAAGAGGAGAAATATTGACATCTTAAACGAACTGAACATCAAGGAAGATTGGCTAATAAACAGAATCCTGTCTCGGAAGCTGAAATATTTTGGTCATATCAAGCGCCACGATGGATTGGAATAAAAATTAAAGCAGAAGGCATGGTAGCAGGAAGGAGGGGCAGGGGCCGACTGACACGAAGATGGGCACAGGGTATAAGTGACTCCTTGTGTGTGAAGGTGCATGCGGCAGGAAAACTGGCGAGAGACCGAGTTTCTCTCAGGCAGTCTGTGATGAGAGCGACCTGCTACATGATAATGATTATTAATATTATAGAAGCTTAATTTTATAAATGTGTCCCCCCCCACCCCTCCTTCCCGTTTCTCTTCTTCCCCCCTTCCCCCTCCCCCACAGCAAGGCTGTTGAGATGTTAAAGATTATTCACATAGTAAATCATATACTTTGAAACTACATCAATAAAAGTCGCATGTTAAATGATGAAATAAGAATAGACATCACAGCGCGACACACGCCTATATGCGCTCCGTCCCTATCTTCAACAGCAAGCGAAGAGTTTCAATTCCGATGATACCAGTAACTATCATGTATTGCCTTTTCCTTGAGAGTTGAGCGTTGACCAGATTCCCTATTACTGCCTTGCAGCGCCATTCTCCTCACACCATTATGATCTGTCTGTGCCCCTGCACTGTTCACTCGCTCCTAAAAGGACCCTTACATCATCAAGCTTGTCATCCATCAATTTACCATCAAGTTTTGCAGAACTGACCAGACTATCGGCCTGTTCGTTTCCCAGCAAACAGACATAAAATTTTTAATGGACGCAATAAACCAGTTTGAAATGAAGTGTTACAGCATAACGCATACAGCGTTATCACCATTATCAAACGCCGATTCTTCTATACAAAGATGATTGTAGAGTTCGTTGCCAGCATTCGCAGCAAAGTAGCATATCAGTCCGCCTACGGGTTAATCCGTCGCCGGTCGGTGGTTAAGGATCAAGTAGTGATCGTATCAACACTACAGGGATCCTTCTAAGAGGTGCTTGACAGGAGCCCCTGGTGCAAATAACATAGACTTTACACGCAGCCTGGCTACCAGTGGTAGGCTGAACGTAGGCGGGTTTTTATTCCTAAGATGGAAATGGAACTGGAATTTCATATCCCAGATGCCCCAACGGCTAAAATGGATACTTTACAACTAGTTGGATAAAAAACGGGATGAGGGAGACAATCAAATGTACCTGAAGATGCTCTAACCTCCTCTGAATTAAATCCCCTAGTTCTTGAAGTCTTTGCTTTCTGTAAACGTCTGCTTTGTTGGCGGTCCGGAGTTTTTCAAAGTCACCAAACAGGCTTCTGATAGAAATAAAATGCAAACATTTATAAACGACAAAGGCACTTTCAGTAACAAAAATAACAAAATCAATATCCAAATAAAATGTAAATAACTGGCATCTGTTCTTATTTATTGAGACGTTTGAGAGTCAAAGAGAGAATAGATTTAAATGAAATAAAACTATCGATGTACTATCTTCTGAAGTATATATGTCTGTGCTGGCTGGGTCATGTCTCTCGCATGGAGGATGGTGGTATTCAAAAGAACCTCATGTATGGTAAACTGAAAACAGGGTGGAGGCTACGTTAAAAGGACACATGCAAACGTGACCTGATAGATACTAACTTAGGCACACTGACTTGTGAAGAACCATCTGCAGATCGACAACTATGGCGACAGAAAGTGAAAGACAGATTATCGAAATTTGAAAGAAACCAAACGAAGCGAGCTGTAGAGAGGTGATGCCAAAGAGACAATCCGCCTCATGGTTATGAAGTATCTACTTTTTTGTGTGTATCCTATGCGGCAGAGAGACTTCCACTCCCACGTCAGACTTTACAGTCACAGCAGATGGATTCAACAGTCTGCATACAAATAAGTCAATTCTGTGAAACAGATGGGAACGCAACACTCAGGTTCAGGAACAATTTTAAAGTCCAAAGGGGAATAAACAACCAGAACTTTCCGTCGGAGTTTCCAGCCGATGAACGGAAAGAAGAAGAAGAAGAAGAAGAAGAAGAAGAAGAAGAAGAAGAAGAAGAAGAAGAAGAAGAAGAAGAAGAAGAAGAAGAAGAAGAAGAAGAAGAAGAAGAAGAAGAAGAAGAAGAAGAAGAAGAAGAAGAAGAAGAAGAAGAAGAAGAAAAAGAAGAAGAAATTCCATTCTGATAACATACGGTAATACCCACCGTTTGTAACCTTGCAGGCTTTCTCTCAGTTCCGGTATCTTAAGTGGCATCTGACCTTTCTCTGTATCTGATTTACCCAAAATGGAGTCGAGAAAATACCAGAGTTCTGTAATTGTATTTTCTGCTTTTCGTCTTGCGTGCTCCATTTCATACGTCAATGAATTTGACGACTCTGTTTTAGAGCACCATGAGTAAATATTAAATGTTGCAATAATGATTGTAGATCTCTAGATTACCATTTTATAGAACTAAAGGCGGAAAATAGAAACATTGTTAAACAAAAACTGTCAGTGTTAGGAATAAATCGAGTACCTATTTCAGTCTTAACCGCTGTTGGTAAGGGTTACTTGTGTATTCCATGATTCTTTTAGATTGTTCTGATTTCACTAGGCAGGTTTAGGTTTTGTAGTTTGCCATTGCTAAAAGAACTGTCGGCTCTCGAAACCACTATCGAGACCAACGGAAAGCGGTCTGTTGTAAAATTGCACGCAGCTGGGATCGAACCCAGTACTTTCGATTTACGATGGGCGTCAGCAATACATGTTAAAACGTGTCTTTTTGGTTTAGGTTCAAACCAATGAAATGTATACAATTAGGTAAGATTCTTTGGCCATCTTGAACTGTTCTATCCCTCTGATCCTGCATAAGTAAACCAAAAGTTAAGGTCCCTTTACAAGCCACTAGGGCACCAGCCTTCGTTAGATTATGCTGCGAACTTTGCAAAGCTGAACCTGGTACCTATTTAAGATTTGGTCGACCAGGGGGCCAAGGCTAATTTTGAAAACAAGTCCGGCTCCTTCAAGACCTGAACTTAATTACTGTATGTTCTTTGTTTTTTCCTCGTCCTAAAGACCATGTTGTGTGGGGTTGGTAGTCATGTCTATCTGCAATATTCTGTCTCATGTACTTTCGGTCACCTGACACAGACGCTCTGTCATACCATGCAGTCAGACTGTCTTCTTCTCTCTCTGTTTCTCTCGGCCTCAGATTTTTCTACTGTCACGATGTACGTTAATTTACCCCTTGTCCTCACTTGACCATAAAATGTAGATTGTCTCATTCTGCTGTAGACAATCAGTTCTCTTCGTGAGTCAATTTCTTTCAAGACATCATTACTCGTTTTATATGTCGAAGGTGTTAACATAATTCCTAAATAAAACCACATTTCCGTAGCTTCCAAACATTCTTTCACTAAACTACCAACTGTCCACGATTGACTTTTGTATACCAGGAAAGGATTTAAATAGCATTAAAGAATTATCTTTCTTGTCTCATTTGACACAGAGAGAATGCACAGAATAGTTTTCATTGTGTAAAATTCTACCTTTAATTGAGCTTATCTACATATAACTTCTTTATACATGTTCTATCTGATGTTTTCAATTGCGCCCATAAACGTTTAATTTTCTTGAGGTTTGTCCCGTTTACATTGACGTGGCATTTTGGAGGCTCCATTTTCTTTGTAATTACCATGAATTCTGTTTTTCTGTTGTTCAAACTAAGACTCTTGTTTTAATTTTCTGTTATAATTATGTCCATCATTAAATGCAGTTTTTTTTTCGGCGTAGTAAACTGTATTGTCAGCCTATCGCGGGTTGATAAAAAATGCCCACCAACCAATATTCCTGGCATACCATGCATGGATCTAATTACTATTTCACTGTACAATATGAGTAAATCAGCTGATAGTATGTATACATTCCTGTTTAACTCCTTGTTTAATGTTTTGAAAAGTTCTAACTTTGTTGCCAATTCTTATGGCTGCTTCTTCTTCTCGGTATATTTGATTATTCTCAGTTCGTTACCTTCAATGTTTAAGGCTTCTAAAATTATCATATGTTCTTCATATTTTACTTCATCATGCTTTAGTGTATATAATCAATAAAGCACAAATACAAAACTATGTTCATTTCAATCATTCTTTCTGAACGAGTTCTCAAGATAAATTTTCGTTGCTTGTGCTTTAACCTCCAACAAATCCATACTACTCTTCTCCAGTTTGTTACCTTTTAGGGGTACACAAATTATAATTGCGGAACAAAAATCAAATAAATTCGCCGATGTAATAATACAGTAGCACATTTGCAATTGTAAATTGAAAACAAAATCACAAGGATAAATAAAATCAAAGACAACAAGGCAAAAATTAACTTTAATCCGTTCAGGAGATTTCAAGGTATTTGTTAAAGTTTGAGGGTACGACTTTTAGAACGGACTATAGCTACTACAAAACCACATCGGTAAAAAAAAGCATTTGAAAATCGAACTTAACCTCCCTTACCGGGTATGCCGGCGTAGAGGGAAATGAGCGAGCGGACCAATTGGCAAGCATTGCACTAAGGCATGTGGGAAGAAGCATAGACAGCAGATATAGTCAACGCTGTACGGACTGGACTTGTGGATAATGAGGAATCCCTGACACTAACACGATTGCGTGACACGGGAGTAAAGCATAGTAAAGCACACCTATGCTGTCTTAGAGGCCGAGATAGGTGACAATATAACCTGATTCTCATGGGAACAATTAGTAGAAGAACTTTGGAGTGGCTGCTGCATCAGAGGAGAGAGCACGCATGGGAATGCCCAATATGCAGTGACGTTGAATGTGATAACATATAACAAGACCACAGATAACCAAGAGCAGAATACTCACCGTTTCGTGGAGACAGTTCTGATGTCCGGTTGTTTCTAAGAGGGGAGAAAAAAAATAATAAGTTTGACCTATGCAGTTCTTCAGGCCAAGAACGTTGCTTGAAATGTCATATCTTACAGTAAATAACAGGCAGTTGTTAAGAAATGAACCATTTCCCAAATATTTAAAGGACAGTGACGTCCTTTGTTTCTGAGAAAGGAACAAGCAGGTTTTCGACCTACTAGAAGCTGCTTTGATCAAACATTGACTCTGAGACTTTGTTTTGTTTGTTTGAGGAATTTGTCAAAAAGCAGCTGCATTTTATTTTCAATTGGAATGACTTTAAGAAGGTTTTAATAGTTAACATAGAACATCTCTATAGGAAATTTCGGAGTTCTATGGTCTCATCATCATCATGTAGCAGGTATATTGCAGAACGTCGCTCTCATCACGGTCTGTCTGAAAGAAACTCGGTCTCTCGCCAGCTCTCCCGCCTCATGCACATTCATACTCAAGGAGTCACTTAAATCCTGTGCCCACATTCATATCGTTCGGGCTCTGCCCCTCCTTCCTGGTTCCATAATTTCTGATATAATATTTTTTCCAATCCGTCGTGGCGCTTGATATGACCCAAATATTCCAGCTTCCGAGACAGGATGCTGTTTATTAGCCAATCTTCGTTGATGTTCAGAACTTTCAAGATGTCAGTATTTCTCCTCTTTTTCGTCCAAGATATTCTGAGAATCTTTCTATGGTATTTCAGCTCAAAAGCCCCTATTCTCTTTCTTAAGGACTGGGAGATACTCTATGACTCACAATCGTATGTTGCTACATTAAAGATGCAAGCTCTCAAAAGTCTAATTTTGAACTCCTTGCTGGTGCTTAACCATAGACTTTTTATGCTGTTTATTCTTTGCATTGGTATGGCCATCCTTTTATTAATTTCTGTCAAACAGTCTCCATTGCTATTTGTCATAGAGCCTACATATTCAAAGTATGGTACACTAATAAAAAAAAAAATATTACAGAGGCAATGTATAATGGTTCAGAGTGTGCAATGCACACTGTCAATGGTTTAAGTGACTAGGTTGAAGTTGATACTAAAGTAAAACGGATGCATTTTATCTCCTCTTGTTTTTGGCATAACTATTGTCTAAGTGATGAGAAAATAGTTTTTGAAACACCGGCATTGACTGGGTGGAGAACACACAGTTGGAAGATCTTGATTTTGGTGGTGAATTTGTTCAGTCAAGTTAAAATAGCAAAGTAAAACAGGCGATTTAACAATTAAGCATCAAGGTTTGGACAAAAAATAGGTTATCATAAAAAAATACACATATAATGAAGAAATTACAGATCAATCAGGTGTGACACTAAAGACTAAAGTAATTACAGTCACAAATTCATGTAAGTGAAAGATCAATTTACTTATTTAGGTGGTAATTTGGGATAGTGGAGGAACACAAACACACACACAAACACACACACACAAACACACACACACACACACGAATAATAATTAAGACAAGCACTGGCAAGGCAGCAGCAGCGTCCAACAGTTTGAACACAAATATGGAAATCTTTATTGAATAGTTTGAAAACCCGAGTTATGTATTTTCACTTCTTACGTTATTTCACTTTAAAATATGCCAGTGAAAGATGGAGAGCCGCTGAGGACATGGAACAAAAGTTAAATAAGGTAGAGATAACTTGTCACTCCTTTAGACGCATCGGTCATATGGAAAGAGTGCCCATATTTTACAGGCCATTGGCACTAGGTGGGTAATGTGTTTCGATTACGCCGGCCGTCTTGCTTTCCCAGAACATACATCCTGGTATCCATTTTAGGCTGGGTCGAGCTGTGAAGCCCCGTGCCATGATAAACATCAACGCAGCCAGAAGTGGGTTTTGATCTCGGGCTTTGGAATTACGAGTAGGACTCGCAACGCTTAAGCCACGGACACCGCTGCGGAAGTTAAATGCATGAAAAAAAAATTGTGTAGGAAATAATGAAATTAAAGCATTTGACTGTGGAAGAACAAAGGAAGCAAACGAGAATGCGGTCAATATCGAGGCATCTCTCTTTTAAGCCATGTTGGCAAAATGTATGCCAAGATAAATGAAACATAACTGAGACTAGTGATAGAACCACAGCTGGCAGAAGAACAGATGGGATTTAGGAGAAATAGAAGCTGCACAGATGCAATCTTCACACTTAAACAGTTAATAGAAAAGAACATTGAATACAATAAGAACTTATTTGTGGCATTCGTAGACCAGGAGAAGGCATTTGACAGAGTCCACAGACAATTATTATGGAAAATAATGGCAGGATATGGAGTAAGCGAACACCTCATCGAAGTGTGCAAAAGTTTATACAGGGATTGTAGAAGTGTAGTTAGAATAAATCAGGGAACATCTCATCCTTTCACAGTGACATCTGGAGTAAGACAGGGGTGTGTCTTATCACCACTGCTGTTTATCACCTACATCGACAGTATATGCAAGAATGCCAAGCCCATGAGTGAAGATCTTAGTAAGATCAACGGATTACTCTTTGCAGATGACCAGGCCTTGATAGCAGATACAGCCATGAAATTGCAACAACATCTAACATCCATGAATGAAGAATGTAAAACAAATAATATGAGAATCAACACTGAAAAGACAGAAGTAATGTCAATAGGAAAAAAAGAAGACAGATCTAAATATAGCAATAGAATACAAAGGCATTAAACAGGCATCTGAGTTTAAATATCTGGGAACTACATTTACCGAAGATGGGAAATTGGATAAAGAAATTGACATTAGATGCAGTAAAGCAAACCAAGTATTGGGACAGCTAGCCCCCCTCTTACAGCATAAGACAATCCCAATCAGCACAAAGAGACATCTTATTCAAAGCATATTTATTCCAACTCTGTGCTACCAGTGCCAGACATGGTCACTCACAACAAACCATAAAAGAAAATTGGTAACCACGGAAATGAGATGTCTGAGAAGGGCTGTAGGAGTGACCATAAGAGATAAGATCAGGAATGAGATCATAAGAGAACAAGTCGGCACAGAACCAATTCTGGATTACATACAAAGACAGCAAGTGAAATGGTTTGCCCACTTAGAGAAAATGCCCTGTGACACCATACCATACAAAGCATACATGGAAAGAGAAGAAGGACGTAGAGCACGGGGTAGACCAAGAACAAGATGTAAGGATAACATCAGAGAAACTCTACAACAGCACAATGTGCCTTTGGTCGAGGCAGCCAGAAGAGCTAGAAACAGAACCTTATATCTCCCTCGACACCCACAGCGGTAAAAGAGGAAGTGAAGAAGAAGAAGAAGAAGAAGACTGTGTGAAGCATGAAGAAGTAATCAAACTGTTAGAAAAATTAAACATTGATGGAAAAGATCTACGAATAATAAAGAATATGTACTGGTAGCAAAGAGCAGCTATAAGAATTAACAACTGTTTAGGTACATTTCAAAGCATAAAGAGGGCTGTACGACAAGGATGTGTACTGTCACTTGAGATGTTTTTAAAATACAGAGAATATATAATGAGAGCTTTAAATGATATGATCGAAATTGTTGTTGGTAGGCACAATATAAACAATTTACGTTATGCTGATCACACAGTCAAAAAGAACTACAGGAAACAATAGACATTGTGTTCTTAGAAAGTGGAAGAATGGGCCTCAGTCTGAATAACTGGAAGACAGAAGTAATGGGGGTAGTGAAGAAACGAATTATTCCTGTAATAAAAGTTAATGGTGTTATTTTGGGACAAGTAAATAAATTAAAGTATCTGGGCGCATGGATAACATCAGATGGAAGATGCATAACTGAAATAAGAAACAGAATATGACAGGCAAAAACTGCATTTTATAAAATGAAGAACATCTTGTGCAAAATATCCTTGTCATTGATAGTTAGAAAACTCATTCTTGCTTGCTACACGCATCCAGTTTTAACATATGGATGTGAATCCTGGACAGTTGGTAGGCAGGCCAAACAATTTATTAAGGCCTCGGAGATGTGGTTTTACAGAAAAATGCTTAGAATACCTTGGACAGCCAAAAAAAGCAACCAAGAGGTTTTGAAAGAGGCGGGAGACCGAAGACAACTTATCACAGACATCAGAAAGAGACAGTCATCATTTTTCGGCCATGTAATGAGAAGAGGGAAAATGGAACATATTGTGACTACTGGAAACATCTGTGGAAGAAGGGATAGAGGAAGACAACGAGATAAGATTCTTGACAGTCTTGTTGCATGGCATGGATGTGTGTCAGCACACGAACTGATACATGCTGCATTAGATAGCAGATTGTGGAGAGGCATGATCGCCCACACCAGTAGACAAGGCACCTGATGATGATGACAATGGATTGTCGCTGGTTTGCCCTTTGTGCTACACATTCAGCTATCAAGCAGCCGGAAGAGACCGAGCCAGATAAGATTTCACCTAGTGCAATCACCTCGATCCCCTTATTTCCCTTGGGGATTCACAGTTGCACAGCTTTCACTTGGGCCAGACTTTTGTGTGTGTCCCCTAGTAACCTTGGCTCCCACGTCGACAAAGCCTGGGTACAAGGTGCAGTCCTTTAAGGTAATAAAGGTGTTCGGCGTGATGCCGACTACATCATCCACCAAGTGCCGTTTAGTCTATAAAATATAGGTCTAGCCCTATATACCCAATCCGCCTTAAGTCGTGGAAAAGGGTACTTTTGCAACAACTACTGCAATGTAGTTATTTTCACACGGGGATTCCCTTAGAGTGCCAATCATGTCTTCAATTAGAACAAACCCCTAGGAACCAGCTAAGACAGCGAGGAGACAATATCACAACCACTTACCTGAATTCAGCAATTACCCTTAAAAGTTCATTCTTTTCTCGTTGCAGTGTCTGCAGCCTCTCGTCGATCTGAAACTCTCTTTCCAGCGAAAGGTTAGCGGGTCTATGTTTGTATAGATCAGCACAGCACATATCCCTAGTCCTACGACCAAGCCGATCAGTGTCAGATTTCTCATCCTAAAGTTGCAAATTTGCTTTGTCTTTTGTCCGAATTGGTTTAACATTGTGCTCCGGTGTTGATTAATATTTGTAGAAACATCCACATGTGAAGCGATACCGTCTGTGAAAGTAGAACAGAGAAAAGGATATTAGTAAACCTTGATTCCCAACGTAATTCACGCTTAAAAAATTATCCGAAACTGAATTGTTCGACTACAGAAACAGCAATGCCTCTCTTTACTCTCATTAGTGATTATTGATTAGAAAGGAATATCATCACAGCACACTGAACAGATCCGTGGGTGCCCGTTCTGTGTTGGTTAATGAAACTTCTTGTCCCCTTGTTGAAATGATCATTTCTTGCAGCTCCAGGCTGCACCCCTATGCCCATCAGTCTAGACAAGGATACAGAGTTATGTCCTTAAGTGAAGAAAATCTAAGCCCAAACGCACGAACTCCGTTACGTACGCTTGAATCCTGGACCGACATTTTCACATGCGACTGACGGGAGATGACGTCATTGTTATTGCTAAGGCCGCCATGACATCGATCGGTAGCACACATTAGTAAAAATACAACAACACACCGCCAAATTGGAATACGGAAGTTCTCTTTACTCCCATTCTCTGGCTTTTGTCACTTGCAGACATCTCAAATGTACACTTCTTTTTCTTCTTTTTCTCTTCCACCTTGTACCTCATCGAAGTGTCGGGGGGAGATGTAATATTCGTTCAAGAGCTCTGTCAAGAGCACTATTAAGACATATTTATTTCTGTAAGGTTGTTCTTAATGCAGTCATTTCATATTTTCCGAGGTTTTCCACTTGCTATATACCGGTACAATAACCTACCTCTCAAAAACACGTGGAATACCTGTATAACTGAACATCCACAAACGCATGAATTATATTCTCCAGTCTGGCTAACACTTTACCACGAAGCTACCTGTCGCTAGTTACTGGTACCAAGGGAATTTTACCTTTTCGCTTGCTGCCAGAGATGGGAAGGGAGCGTTTATAGTGGTGTCGCGAGTGCTGTGATATCGATTTTAAAGTCAACATTCAACATTTAACTTAAGCTGAATGTTGTGAGGGCCCCTTGTGAGCGAATGAACAAAATAGGTCATTTCGGTCTGATAAACATGGCGCTGTATGAAGTTACCAGGGGATCATCAAATCATCTAAAGGTCCAAACTACACAGCCTTGTCCTCAAGCCTCTCATTTCTCTCTCTCTCTCTCTCTCTCTCTCTCTCTCTCTCTCTCTCTCTCTCTCTCTCTCTCTCTCTCTCTCTCTCTCTAGACTAAAAAAAAAAAAAACAGGAACGAGCTCAGTCATTTCAGAAAGCTCTTTCATTTTACATACACTGGACTGTTATCCTTAAGTTATTGTGACAGTGTGTTCGCAGATGCTTTTGCGGAAGAAGTCACAGAAGTAGACCTGAATGAGTGTACATTACATAATGTCTTCTTCTTTTTCGTGTTATATTTGGTTATGTGTCTAAAAAATACAGTTATCTCCTTGTGAGATGCAATTTTGTTGTTTTGAAGCCCCACCGTCTTGCCAGGGGCCGCAATATAGCCCGACCATAAATATGGTCTAATGGCTGAAAGCGGTTTCTGGGACCTCTCCACGGGTGATCCTTATCCACATGATGGCACTTTGTGTTATCGGGTGTTTATCGCTTGTGTAATGTCCTGGTGGGGTCAAAGAAGATAGAAAAGATTGATCTTCTTCGCGTTCACCAGCTGTAAACTCTGGGGGAACATTCTGGTTGTTCATCCACTTCTGGACTGCAGTCCTGTTCCAGGACCTGAGTGTCGCGTTTACATCCATTCTACAAATCTGATTTGTATGCAGACTGTTGGTTCCTTGTCTCTCAGGCAAATGGACTCCGACTTCGAAGGAAGCTTCCAGTTAGTCGACTCTTTCGACAGGCTTTTGGGTAGGCGGTGGGTCTATTCCTGTTTTCCCTATAAAAGGACCCCAGAACCCACACGGGTAGGATTACACACCCTAATAGCAACAATGATTACATTTGGTTGCGTCATGGGAAGCTTGAACCAGCTTCAGAACAGAAGCGGCAACCTTACTTTCTACTGTGCAGACACTGTGGGACAACAGCTTTGACTTGATCTGTGTCTATTGATTGTGTAGGGAGCCGATGCATGGCCGCCTTTGCTTCTCAGGATGGCACAAACAGGACGCGATGTTTCCAAAGAGAGGAAGCTCTGTGAATTTTTTTCCCATTTAAGAGCGAGTCAGTGCGGCATAGCGTCTAGACGCTCGCCTGCGGATCGGAAGGTCGCTGGTTTACTCCCTGGTGGAGCCGGACTTTTAAAAAAAAATGACCTTTGCCTTCAGGTCGATACAGACTTGACGCAGTAACCTGTGTCCGTCCTGGGAGGTAAAGGCGGCCGGGGTGATATTGACCACATCCCCAATCTTTTATCGTTGGTCTAAAAAAATACAGGTCTAGCCCTATATACCCAATAACCCTCAAAGGCGTGGAAACGTGTCCTTTATATCTCACTTTACATAAGAGAGCATTGGGGAGAAGTGGGGGGGGGGGGGGGGAGGTTGGGAAGAGGAAAAGGTTGGGGAAAGGAAAGGTTGGGAGAGGGAAAGGTTGGGAGAGGAAACGGTTGGGAGAGGGCAAGGTTGGGAGAGGAAAAGGTTTGGAGAGGGAAAGGTTCGGAGAGGGAAAGGTTCGGAGAGGGAAAGGTTGGGAGAGGGAAAGGTTGGGAGAGGGAAAGGTTGGGAGAGGGAAAGGTTGGGAGAGGGAAGGGTTGGGAGAGGGAAAGGTTGGGAGAGGGAAAGGTTGGGAGAGGGAAAGGTGAGAAACCACTGGTCTGAACCATTTTTTTTTCCCAGATTGCAATCTGTAGGATTAATATGGATGAGATTGATTAACATGGGTGAGATTGATTAACATGGGTGAGATTGATTTACATGGGTGAGATTGATTAACATGGGTAAGACAGATTAACATAGGTAAGATTGATTAACAAAGGTGAGATTAATTAACATGGGTGAGATTGATTAACATGGGTGTGATTGATTAACATGGGTGAGATTGATTAACATGGGTGAGACTGATTAACATAGGTGAGATTCGTTAACATGAATAAGATTGATTACCACGGGTGAGACAAATTAACATGGATGTGATTGATTAACATGGGTGAGATTGATTAACATGGGTGAGATTGATTAACTTGGGTGAGATTGATTAACATGGGTGAGATTGATAACATGGGTGAGATTGATTAACATGGGTGAGATTGATTAACATGGGTGAGATTGATTAACATGGATGAGACTGATTAACATGAATGAGATTGATTAGCATGTGTTAGATTGATTAACATGGGTGTGATTGATTAACATGGGTGTGATTGATTAACATGGGTGTGATTGATTAACATGGGTGTGATTGATTAACATGGGTGAGATTGATTAACATTGGTGAGATTCAAACAGGTGCAGATCGCAGACATCCCGTTTAACACAAAAAGCAGTCCACGACTCATATCTGTACGTTGCTCAGTCCACGACTCATATCTGTATGTTGCTCAGTCCACGACTCATATCTGTACGTTGCTCAGTCCACGACTCATATCTATACGTTGCTTAGTCTACGTCTCATATATGTACGTTGCTTAGTCTACGTCCCATATCTGTACGTTGCTCAGTCCACGACTTATATCTGTACGTTGCTCAGTCCACGACTCATATCTATACGTTGCTTAGTCTACGTCTCATATCTGTACGTTGCTTAGTCTACGTCTCATATCTGTACGTTGCTCAGTCCACGACTTATATCTGTACGTTGCTCAGTCCACGACTTATATCTGTACGTTGCTCAGTCCACGACTTATATCTGTACGTTGCTCAGTCCACGACTTATATCTGTACGTTGCTCAGTCCACGACTTATATCTGTACGTTGCTTAGTCCACGACTCATATCTGTACGTTGCTTAATCCACGACTGATATCTGTATGTTGCTTAATCCACGTCTCATATCTGTATGTTACTTAGTCCATGACTCACATCTGTACGTTGCTCAGTCCACGACTTATATCTGTACGTTGCTCAGTCCACGACTTACATCTGTACGTTGCTTAGTCCACGACTCATATCTGTATGTTGTTTAATCCACGACTGATATCTGTGTGTTGCTTAATCCACGTCTCATATCTGTATGTTACTTAGTCCATGACTCACAACTGTACGTTGCTTAGTCCACGACTCATATCTGTAGGTCGCTTAGTCCACGACTCATATATGTATGTTACTTAGTCCACGACTTATATCTGTATGTTGCTACAGGGACGACGCATGTTTTTACAATTTTAACTTTTATTTGCTTGCTGACTCCTGTGTTTGTTCCGGGACTCATTTTAGGAAACAAAAAAAAATAGAACCACTGCCCAACAAACATGTCGCTGGAGGCGATTAATTAAATTTAAGGGCGTTTCTTTTTAAGTCGGAGTGCATCTTTCTGACAGTCGTAACCAACAAAATATGGTAATTTTTTTATATTTATTCATCAGGTGTGATGACTGTATTTTGCATTGTCTCTACGGTCACAGTAAGCTAAGCAGAAATCCGTGCAACAAACGACTGCACCAGCTACTTTGGGCTGGAGAGTTAAACACGACAAAGCTCCAGGTTCAGTGATTCCCAAACTGTACGCCGCGGGGCCTGGGGAAGCCGCGATCTCTTCACAGGGGCGCCGCGAAATATTGTAAAAGCTTTATAATGAATTTATCAAAGGCACGAATAGTCATACTTTTTCACAGGTTAGGGCGCCGTGGAAAAATTGTAATTGAAAAAAGACGCCGCGACCAAGAACATTTTGGGAAACACGGGGTTAGTAGTCAGTTGCGTACCAGAGCTCCAAGAAGACTGTTGTGATGTTGTGATGTTGTGATGTAGTTTACCTGCAGTGTTTTAGGCGTTGTGTAAATG